TATATGGATGTATCATTAAACAACATATATGGATGTATCATTAAACAGCATATATGGATGGTATCATTAAATAAACAGGAAAAGGGAATTTATAAAATTATTTTTGCTAACACTTTATAAAAACTACACAGTATGAAGCATTACTTAAGTATGAGTAAACACTTAATTCATCATTTGTAAAGCATTGTTCCTACATTAACACTCATTAGTATGCAATTCATAACAGTCATAAATGTTTTATTCTTGATTAATAAGCTCATCTATTATGTGTTTCATTATTGTTTTCATACTTTATAAATGATGGATTCCCCATTTGTAAATTAAGTATTATATGTATTACAAACTCATTATTAAGGAGTTGTAGATCAGAGGTCTTCAACAGGGGGTCCGCGGCCCCTAGGGGGTCCGCTGAGGTACTGCAGGGGATCTGCAAAATTAAAAAAATAATAATAATAATAATAAATTATATATTTTTTCTCTCTAAACATGAATGTGTCCATTATTTTAATAGTTCAGTATGGTATGAAAGATAACAGGTATCTTTATGCATGGCAGTGGCACTAATAGCCCATCACTCATTTTTCGTTTCCACCTTTATGTTTAAAATGAAAACATCAGTTTGAATAGCTTGTATGCATGATTATCATGCAATTGACAGACAATGTTGATATTGGCATTGGTATCAGCTGACAAGGTATGTTTATAAATGGCAGTGGCACGGCCCCCCTACTCACTGTACCTTGCACATGTTTAAAATAAAAACATGAATATATGAACCTGTGTATTATTTGAATAGCTTAGTATTGAATGGACAATAAAGAGGTATGTTTATACATGGCACGAGGCCCATTTAATATAAAACACAATTGTATACAATATATATAGTCGGGGGTCCCTGCTCCATCTCTTTATCAGTTTGGGGGTCCTTGGCCTGAAAAATGTTGAAGACCCCTGTTGTAGATGATAAATAACATAATTTATAAAGTGTTAGTAAATGATTAATAACTTATTTAGATGTACATTATTCATGCATTTATATATAATGATTTAAATATGCACTAATGGTTAGGGACTATGTTAATATATGCTCTATAAATGCGTATCAATAATGCAATTCATGATTAATTCATGATATATTAAGGTAGTTACTCATCATTAGTAAAGTGTGTTGTGACCTCATCTAAAGTGAGGACTATTTATGCCTTATAAAGCATTTATAAATTACATTGAAAGGCCAGCACTGCCTCGTAACACATCGTTTTTCAACAGAAAAGGCAAATAGACACAACACCAAGTGATCAAGAACATGTCAATATTTATTGCAAGATGCAAACAATATACTGTTAAATACAAACCTCTCAGCCATTCATTCATGTAAGAAACAAAGACATTGGGGAACAAATGGGGAATCCATCATTTATATATTTATATATATATATATATTATTTTTAATAATTATATATGTTTTCATACTATTTTATATACACATATATATAATAGTATGAAAACACAATAGATATATAGATATAAAATGTATCACAAAAACACATAATAGATGAGCTTATTAATCAAGAATAAAACATGTTATAACTGTTGTTATGAACTGCATACTAATGAGTGTTAATGTAGGGACAATGCTATATAAATGATGAATTAAGTTACTCATTACACATACTTAACTAATGCTTCATAGCGTGTGCTACCGTATTTTTTTCAATAATTGTAATTACCAGTAATTATCAAAATACAAGTACAAGCACCAGAAACGTGCTTGAAGCCGTTTCTAAACTTTAATGGTATTTTTGTCTCGAAAAGCTGTCAACTGTCATCTTCCTGCTCTGGTGGTTCCTGTACACATTACTTTCACTTATGGATACTGATCCTGTTCAAAGATGTGATTTCCCTCTTTTTCACTACCTTGATATACTTTGTTCATTCCTATAAGAGCACAAATTCCTGATGTTAACATTGCTAATTGGCCCAATCCCAACGTCCCCCCTAAGGCCCTGAACCCTGAACCCTCAGGGACTTACTGACGTCACCTGTTAAATGGGTGAGTGTGAGAGACTGTGAGGGCTTCAAATGTTGTGAATACGAATGTGACAGCACTTTGCTGCAACATATCACGTTACCACGACAACGTCAAAAAATATCATGTCCAATTATGGGTATTTATTTTAAACTTTTTACTCCCTGATATGAACGTCTTCCAGGAGATGTGAGGTAACTTCAAATAATCAATTTACTCGTTTTTGTCAAAACCGCTTCAATAAGAAAATGAAATGTTTGATGAATAAATCTGTTTAATATAATCTCTGCTTTCATTGCTCTGATTTCATGTGTTTCTATGTTCCATCTTTAATGTTTCTGAGTAAATGTAATTCTCCAGGCTGAACACACATGAGCCGTCCTCTTTGTTTACCTTGTTTACGTCTCCGTGCTTCCACTGGTAACCCCTAACGGCACATTGCTATGAATTGTGGGTAATTCCCTTTGGCAAAGTCTGCAGAAATATGGACTTACAGAAAGTGTTCATAAAGGGCTCAGAATGTGTGTGAGAGAGCCCTCAAACACTCGATGATTTGACAATGAGACAACTAAACCCTCACGGACTTTACAGGAGCGCACCTCAAAGTCCTAGTCCGTAAGGGTGGAGATTGGGATTGGGCCATTGTTGATTAACTTTGAATATGTTGTTTAATTGATGTTACACCTCTTGCTATTTCCTTCTGTGGAGGCTCACCTTACTGTTCACTGTCTCTGGCAGATTTCCAGTCTGCTCAGAAACATCACAGCACCGAGTCCTCTGAACTTCCGTATTATCCATGGCACAGCAGATGGTGAGTATGGGTACAGGTACGGAGAATAAAGCAGATGTGTGGACATGTTATAGGGTTTATTGGCAGGCTGGCACCATTTTAAAATGAGATTCTTCTTGACCTTAGCCACTGTATTGGAAATTGTCTTGACTGTTTGCAACAAATTTAAAAGTATACCGTACATACTACGTGCTATTTTGTTGTGAAAGTTATTTTTGCTGCTCTTCCATTTGTATCACTGCTAAGAATGTGTGCTCAGGGATTTTACATGCAAAAACATGTTGATGTGCAGTAATATTCTTTGTGTGCATTGATTGGTCCAATCTCATTCTTGACTTGATGCTACCTGGCCTCGTGATGCATAATATGATTAGCTGAGCACTGTTTTGGCTCTACAATTGAGTTTTCATTAAACACCCGACTGTGGAAGTGTAATGGACTGAACACTGCGGCTGGGATGAATTTTCATTCGAGTTATCTGCTCTTTTTTCAGCCACTGTTCATTTCCAGCATTCTGCTGAGCTGGTCAAACTGCTGTCTGCGTCGAATGTTAACTACACTCTCCAGGTGACTGCTGCCGTTTCTTCTCTGAGTTTATGTTATTTTACTGACCAGAGGAGACCTTGATGTTGTGTTCATCTGTCAAACTAAGTAACTGAGCACTTATCTTACTGTTAGATTACATGGTTTCTGATTTAAATCAGCACTTACCATATGAGATATGTGGCTCCTTAAAATAATGCGTGAACAAGTTAATATTTGTGTTAAAAGCTGTGAAGATAAACAGCACTCTCATGCTTGTACAGTAAATATGTAGCTGGGTCCAGCAGCCAGTTAGCTTAGCATAGCATAAAAACTGTCTCTGCACAAAGGCAGTCTGTCAACTGTTTACGGAAGCGCTCTGTGAATGTTACTAAGCTGTATTCACTGCGTCTGTCAACACGTCCGCTGGTTAACTATATCAAAACATTTTCCTGTGATTTGATTGCAATAAACGGATAAAAAAAGATGCCAAAATAAGTAGGTAATGATTTGATAAAAGTCTGAATGCTTCGTCAGGTCTGTATGCAAGACACCAAACAAAGAACTTTTAAAATCTTTGTTTTCTGACGGGTTTGGATCCATCAATGTGAGGCGATGTTAACATTATAGCTGCTCCATCAACATTCAAAATAACATTTTGCGAAATTAGTCTATGGTCCATACACACATTCATTCATAGAGTTTTGTCTGCTACCGTAGAGCTCTCGCTGACCACAGACAGCTACAATGTATTTCTCCCCCATTTCTGATTCAACGTTTGGACATCAGTGACTACAGTAGGAGAATCTCAACGCTCATAGGCTTTTGAGACACAGCGTGCATTTCTCGCTAAAGCTAAAATCTTTTAGCGTTACGCGTATTAGCTTCACTTTGCGTTTGGTGTGATCACACCATAACTCTCTGCAAGAAAGTCAATAAGCATATTCCCCAAAATGAACACTTTCAGTGATTTTGACACTGCAGTGTAAAGATAATTTAGGTAATAAAAAACTTTAAATAAATGACACTTTCTTTTTTATTTCCTGCTGCCTAGATTTTCCCAGATGAAGGACACAACATGGCCTCCACCAAGAGCCAACACTACATGCTAAGCTCAGTGCTCACCTTCTTCAAGCTCTGCTTTGAGGAGGAGCAGGTTGTCGTCGTGGAGAAATCTAAAGACCATGACTAACCCATAGAAGGTCCTACAATGAAAAGTGAAGAGTGTAGCAATTGTTGTCATGAGCCGACAAAGAGGTTGTGTTCTCCTGAAGGGCATCTCTCTCTCTAAAAGTACTCATCACTATGTAAGATAAGTAGCATTATATGTGCTATGACCAGCGTGGGGATCCCAGGGTTGTGATTATTAATTGTTGAATTGAAAAGATGGTTGTATTATCGCTGTATTCCAATGCTTCAGATTAGACTTCTTCTTTGTATCATGTACGGAGTACAAAAATGTCAGGGAATCAAAGAAACTTGTATTTTTCCATTTTACAGTATAGTTTTTGCTGACTGCTGTGAATATTTATATTTACTGCAAAGGAGACTATATAACTTAACCTGGGAGATCACATCACAAAATAACTTCTGCAGGTGCCTTTACCTCATTACAGTCGTCACTATTACTCAACCTTATAGCCAACAACACCTGAGCTTTATAGTCACATTAATCTGCAGTTTTTCAGGGAACTTAATGGTCCTTCTGTATTTCAAATCCACCATCTCATTTATTTCCCATGGGATGTGCTGTTTCAAATTCTACTTTATGTATTGTTTGATCAACTCAGAGTGAAATTTGACTTTTGTGTGAAAAGAAAGGTTTTAGCTCATCTGATAAATGGACGCATGCTAACACCAATTTGTAGGACTATTTGGGAACTAATATGATGACACAAAGATTGGAAGCCATCAGGAGGGCAAGACCCTGCAAAGGTCGTCTACAGGCAGCCTACCGCTATCCTCTTTTGAGCCTGCTATTTTACGCTATCAGTAGTTTACAGCAGGGGCTGCTAGTGATAACACAGCTGAGCACATCTCCAACTCCGAGCTCTTACTCTGTGTCCAGACATACAAGTTGCTCACTTTAATTGTTTGGGACGGTGTGTTTGGCTAACTGGCGAAGTTACTAGTAGGCACACTGCTGAGTACATCGCCACCACTCAGCCGTTGTAATGCGGGGAGTCAGCTTGGTGAGTTTAATATTGTTTTTGGTAAGATTGTATAACGTGTCTTATATGACGACTTTGAGCCGATTGCCAGTATTCATCACCGCTTGTTTTTGACGCCAGTCGTGGGTTGTATTCAAAAAAGTTTGTGCAAAATGAAAGAATAAGTTAATAAATAATATATTGTATCATAGCTGGTCAGTGACGATAACAATTACATTCTGATGATATTAATACACTTAATTAATCATCATCATTAAAGTATTAACTAGCTATCTAAATTATATATGATTTTTAAAGTATTTATTGACCATTTCACATTATTTCATTATCATCAATTGCAACATCGTAACAGCCACTATGGATTCATTTTTAAAGATGGTTTATAAACCAATTATTGATAATAAATCGTTAATTTTCATTGTGAGTCAAATAACCATTAACTAAAATGTTGAAGACTACCAATTTACCATTTCTTAATGATGGTTATTATAAAGAGTTAAGTCACGTTAGCTATTCCCACTTCCCTTTTGCAAAGTACCCATGGATGTACAGTGATAGCTGACTGTACCCATGGATGTACAGTCAGCTATCACTGGATTACTTTGATGCTGAGGAAAAGTTTAACAAACTGTTCTGAAGCAGCTTTTTTCTCGGATTTCTGAACGTTTATTCCCAACTGACACCAAGTTATGACTCTTTTATATTTGCATCAAATCAGAAACTACACTGGAGTAACTCTGATTGGTAGCCCTTTCATGAATAAGTCCAATCAAAGCTGGATACTTTTTTCTCAATCCCACTATGTTCTTTTGAATGTTCATAACCGACTGGATTCTTCACTGTTATATGCAGCGTCTAACATCCCAGAATGTGAAGTGTTACAAATGGGCAGAAAACCAAGTCACGTAAGTTTTAATAATACTGGTGTATTCTGTACAGCGTGCTGTGTGTATGACCAGATCATCATATCCTTCTTCGAGTAGGTTATAGCAAACCAGAAGATTTTCTGACCATGATCCTGTGATGCTTACACTTCTGCACTTGCTTGATTCTGTCAAACTGCAACTAATTCTGTCATATATACTGACATTTGTATACTTGGGGAAAAATGTATATGCTGAAATAAATTGTTAAACAAGACCGCGTTGCATCTGTGCCTTCCATTGTTTGCTCTTGTGCTCAGAGGACGAAGCAATAAAATGAGAAGTTAATTCAGAGCCGAAACAACGCGCCCAATCTTGATTTAAAGGTGCTGATGGTGCACCGGTGACATGCAATGTTTGGAGGTAGCAGCAGTGACAGACGTTATCTTCCAATTGCTTTCGAGTCAAAGCCACAATCAAAGCCGTCTTTTTCTTCTAATGACAGTGTCTGCTCTGAGCATTGTATGGCTATTAAAAAGAAAAGGAAATTGCCCCCAGAGCTTTACGTCCAGGTTCGGAGCTGTGAAAGCAAACCCTGAAAACAAGACTTAAGAAAGCCATATACAGTACCTGGCTGTTGTTTATTGAAAGTAATTCAATTAGGATAGCCTTAATTAAAGAGATGCATAAAGGATAATAAAAATAATATTGACATAATAGGAAAGCTGAATAAAAATAAAGTGTCTTTGGCTATTATATCGTGAAGTCATATTGTGTTGAAGTAGTGATGTCATTAGTTTTGCAGGAATATCAAACCAATGAAGTCTAGACACTGTTGGTTTGATGGTGGTCTGCAATGGCTGAAGATCTGTATGGATGAGATGTGGAGCGGCTGGTTCTGAAAAGTGAAGACAATCGGGAAGTGCCATGAACTTGCATTCTCTCTAACGGCCATCAGGGGGCGACTCCTGGTTGTAAAAATAAGTCTGGTTGTATAGAAGTCTATGAGAAAATGACTACTTCTCTCTTGATTTATTACCTCAGTAAACATTGTAAACATGAGTTTATGGTCTCAATCTCTAGCTTCAACTCAATACAGCATGATGTTCATTTAGTAAATTATGCTCCATTTAGAGTCAAACATAAAGCATAAAGCAGGGGATGCTTTAGGGCGGGGCTACCTTGTGATTAGCAGGTTGCTACCACAGCGTTGTCCGGCTCTGGGAGTTGTCCGTGTATTTATCTTAGAACTTTCACACTTTCATCAGTGTTTTCAGTTCATTAAAGTTAATTGTAACATTTTGGTCGCCTAAACACGTCTCATTCAGTTTTAGGTTGTACTTAGCTTAATCCTCTCATATCACTTCTGGTTCCAAGAAACAAGATGGCGACGGCCAAATTGCCACACTCAAGGCTTCAAAACCGTAGTCCAGAAAACGAATGGGTGAAGGGAGGGTTGCATCGCTCTGACACGGCAGCTGACAGCAGGAGATTAAAGAATAGTTTTAAACTTGGACAGCAGCGAGATTATCGGCTCACGGAGGTCGTAGAAAAATGTGAAAGAGTGAACGCCCTCAGTTAGCTGATTGATTTGGAAGCGGGGACAGAAAGTGATGGGAGTGATGCTTCCTGCATATCTACATTACAAAGGTCCTTTGGGCTACTTGATATTATTAGCACTCACTTGTCTTGATATTTATGATAATATTGTAAATACCTAAGCCCATTATGTTACTTACTGTATTTATTGTCTGTTCAGTTTGCTCCTTTACATTTTATTCTACTTCTATTCTTATCTCGAATTCTTGCCTACAAGTTGTGTGTTACATTGATTTGCATAGTAATAAGTGGAGTACACTGAAGAGTTTTTTAATACAGGTCGTATTCGACAGAGGTATGAAGGATAAAACATAAAACATGGAGGCCAGTGAGTGCACTGGTTAATGCACGCAGACATGCAGTGTTGAAGCAGCCATGATCGCTCTGAACAAGTAGATCTTTCCCGCCAGATCATAAATGAGTCCCAACGCCATGACAGACTGCCTCTACCCTCCCAAGGTGAAGAAACCAATAAAAGTTACTGCGAGGAACTTTTAACTGGTTATGAAACAGTCTCAATATAATACTGATTATGATCTGATATGACCTGGATGAGTAAACGAGACCATCAGCGAAAAGGTGATACCGGGTCGGATTCTGGTGAAATCAGATGAAATAATGCAGGTTCACCAGAAAATCCTTCAGCTCAGACTCCAGCGGGGCCTCCACAAGCGACCACACTACCGTGGACAGACCCAGATCCAGCTTTACTGACGCCTTCGACCTGCAGTTGGAGCTCCAGCGGGAGGAGCAGAGCTCGGCGGTTGGCAGTAATAGCTCCTCCTCCGGCCAGGAGTAGAGCTCCGCACCTTGCTGCTCCGTCAACAGAGACACCACGCTGCTGAAGGCCCAGGCAACATCACTGGGCCCGCTAGAGGGAAGGGAGACACGGAAGAACCAGAACCAGAACCAGGACTGCGCCGAGCACACTGTTAGACCATGCTGCAGTAAAATGAGAGGTTTTCTAAAGAGACTCTGGTGCTCGAAAACACCTACCACACAGGGCTCCAATATCAACACTGATTGAAAGTTACTCATAGTAACAGTAAATCGACATTTAGAACAACTAATATTGCAAAAAACGGTATCTGAATTCTCTACTCTTTATCAGCACAACTCATTGTTTTTCAGTCTTTTTTTATTTATAATCATCACTAGAGGACAATCACAATAACCCCCAAAAGCTCAAACCCTGCCCTTTCCCTTTTTAAAACAGCAAAAAGAACAAGAACAAGCATTACAAAATCCATCCTAAGAAGAAAAATCAACAGCTGAAAGGAAAACAGGAAAAAAAAGGTACAAGACATCCGGGTCAAATGAGTCCATCCCCATAGACTAAACTATCTATGAGATCTGACATCTCAAAAATATATTTATGTACACACTCTGCTGTATTGTACTGTACAAAATGTGACAACACTTGACACGTTCCCTGTAGACATGCAAACACCTTACTGACACTGTCAAATTGTCTGTCTTAGTACACCCATCATCATTAATAACCACTGCAGTTATTTATTATCTTTTTGAAATAAGAGAATATCCAGAAATAAGGAAAACGTCTCTCGACTTCAAGAAAGCTCTTGTATCTTAGATGAGTCTATGAGAGATTTTAAGAAAAAGTGTGGCCTGAAACTAAAATTACTCTATGGCCAATATCCATTATCGTCATATAGAATTAATAACTTAGTCATGATACAGCTTATGATGTGTCGTAACTGATACTATACTGACTCCAATGCTGCGTCTCGAGGACCTGAGTTGACATAGGTTAGCATGACACTGCTAATGGATGACTACCACTGCCAGCTAGTAAGATTACAGTATGTTGAACCCCATAAGGCATTGTACATGTCTACACGAGACCCCTGTACAATAAAGTGTGACCTATAAAGACTGTTGTTCATTCAGGGCGCGCGATGGCGGAGTGTTTCAGCAGGAAGTAGCACTTATTCAGGAATCGGCTCTGCTTTTGCGGTGAACTAGCATTTCCTTGTGCGACAATACGACAACCAAAGGAGAGGTGAGATCAAAAGTGTACATCTGTGTTGTTTTTTTGCTTCCCGAGTGCGACCACAAACGGGACTAACATGGCAAAAATGAGTGAAGCTGCGAGGGGAAAGAAATAACCATGCACTTGTGGATGACTGCAGCCCAGAGAGCCTTCAAGAGATGGAGGCGGTCTTCCGTACGCTTTGCCAGGAAACGGAGCGTCCCAAAACTGAAATGACTTTATGCCAGAGGGCAGTTCCCGCCTTGAGTCCCGGGCTATGAAGTGTCACTGTTTGTGTCCTTCAGTTATCTTTTCAACACATTTTTATACACAGTCACACACATTGCTCTCTCTCTCTCTCGCTCACACACACACGCACACAAACACACACACACACACACACACACACACACACACACACACACACACACACACACACACACACACTTTAAGAGCATTAGCAGCTCTAACCCAGTGTCCATGTCCAGCTAAACACTTGGTCCAAACGTGAAAGGCCTTGATGGATTTTTAGTTAAATTCTTCAAGCTCTGCCAAAGGTTTGACCCTCAAAGCCTCCCGCCTACTCCTCCTCCTCCTCTTCCTCATCCGGCAGCGGTAGCAGCTCCTCCTTAAGACAATCCCTGTAGAAGCTGGTCAGTGTGGCGTAGAGATGCTGGCGACTCTGCTGAGATAGGAAGTGGCCCTCATCTGGGTAGATCTGCCGAGTACAAAGGAAGGTTTTACTGTCCGGTCCCAGAATATTTCAATTTTCAGTGTGAATCATTGTAGTTCTCTGCTGTTTGATTGCTTTGGTGTAAGCTGTGCAAACCTCCAACAGCTTTCACAAATAAACCACATTTCTATAGAAATCATTTCAAACTGTCACATTTATGGAGATTACGACAGGTTGGAATAAATCAGAACGATCCTTTAATATAGGCTATAAAGTGGATCTCTCCTCCACCACATTGCCCAATTTTAAATAATCAAGTCCAAACTACTGTTGATGATGATAAGCCCCATTCCATCCTCTTAAAAACTTACAAACTCTTATGTTTCTGTACAGTCTGTGATTACTCAACCTGTTATAGAAAAACAGTTGACAGTGATTGTCTGTGGGGATAATGACACCTGTGGGACACCCCAGCAGCAGTGTTAACACATTAAATTCAGTTGTTTGAGCTGATTCAATACATTTTGACACTTTCCAAAAGTATTATTTACATTAACTTGTACATGTGAGATTATACAATACATGCATGTCTATCCCTGTTTGAACAAATGCAGTATAAAGATTGTGCCTTGGTGGCGTTGTCTCGATACACACCTGCATGGAGTAGTTTGCTCCAACTTTCACAAGGTTCTTGACGAGCTCAGCAGTATGCTGGAAGTGGATATTGGCTGGGAACACAAAAAAATGAAACATGTCAGCAAGATTCAGACTGAATCCTAGCTGGGAAAAAAGACAACACAATCAGATGGCATGGCTCACCCGCGGATGTTTTCCTCTGGAAATCCCAGCATCAATTAAGATAACCCACTTCCCCTTTTTATCTTTTGATTAAAAACCATTTGCCTCATTGTGTGCCAGGGTTGCATGCTTCTTTGTGCTCAGCAGCGATGCACAACAGATAGTGTTTTCATTCAATCGCAATCTATTTTCTCTTACCATCTGCTGT